TCTTCTGTGAAGAATTTGTGAGTGAATCTGTAACATACCATTTAGAAGGGGTATGCTCAGAAACCCACTATCTAGGAGTATTAAAGTATTTATTAGCCTCTTCAGGCTGGCTGTTCTGATACACCCATTGCTGGCAATGGAGTTCATGCCAGGGGGGAAAAAAATCAGACTTTCCGTGCACAAGGATTGCAAATCTGAAACTGAAAACTTGATATTTATTGAATGTTCTTAAACACAATAAATGAAATATTGTCAATTTAAATTGTGTGATTCTTGACATTAACTTATGAGTATGTTGGATGTGGGGGTTCTCCTTTAAAATTAGGACACTTTCCTAATATCTCTCCATTCAGGTTAAAGGGACCTGATATTGCTGTCACAGGAAAGGAGACCAGTAAGCAGGCATAAAATCCACCTAGTTTACCAGGACTAAACTGTCCAACTGCAAGCAGACTGCTGAGGCCAGAACAGCTGCCAGTCATTCTTCTTAGCATTTCTTATCAGAGTCATCGGAGAGTGTAATAAGAAATAACAATGCTTTGATTACTATTTAATGTTGTAGTTTAAAGCCTTTGTTTAATAATCTGAAAGCAGCTACTGAAAAATGCCTTGCCCAAAGGTAGTATTTTAAACAGTTATGTCTAGAAGTGCTTAGAATGGCTATAGCAACACTGTTCAATTTTGTATTAAACTATCTTTGAAGAAATCAAAATATTAAAATTAGTCTTTGTACACAATATAATATAAATCTACAGGTAAACTGAAGATATCACAATTACCAATACAGTTTAGTGCTAACATTTTCTTTTAAGACTATATTCCACAATAACAAATTAACATAGAGTCATTTCTGAAGGTGTAGCTCCAGAAGCGTGACTTGTATTCCAAGACATTCTGAACCTTTTGTTATAGTTAAGGGGGAAGCTTAGTTCTCCAAGTACCCAAAAAAAAAAAAAAAAAAAACTGGAAAAATGCAACAAGATTTTGTAAAAATATTTAAGAGATTTTGATCTTACATGAGGAAAGTATTTTCCTTGAAAATAAAAATGTATGCTTGCCCATGCATATGCAATAAGAACCTGGTGAACCTGCACCACCACAACTAAGGAATTACAGATACTATATTTCTCTGCTGCTAGCAAATATTTACTTTTCAGATCAGTGGTTCAAGCATACAATCATGTTAAATGAGTTATGTCCACAAACAGGTGTGCTTGTCCATTTCAAAGGCCCCTTGACAATTTTTCCTTTGGTATCTGATCCTACAGTTGTCCTCTGTCAAAGCTGAGATGAATACAGCACTGCCTTTTATTTGCCTGTTTCTTCTGGCATCAGGTAACATTTTCTCTCACCCCCTGCCTCCAGGGGATGAGGAGGAAGGTAGCATATGTGAAGCCTCATAGCTTGGTAAAGGAAAGGGAACTATAGTGGGCGGAAAGAACAAATGAAAGACAATGCAGCATTCTTGCAAATCTAGAGTCTTGACAGAAGTATCTGATTTAATATTTAATATCAAGTTCTGGGTACCATTGCAAAGACTAGTCAGATTTACTGTGAAAAGACAGTAGGGTAACTTAAGTATTCAGTTACAATAGAAGCATTAGTTTTCCCTCTTGGATTGCCTTTCCAAAAGTTTGTTAGAACCTAAATCTTAAGTATTAGTTACTACAGTTTTAAGAACTGCTGCACTGCCAATATTTTGTAGATATTTAATAGGTGTCCCACAGTTTGCTTTGATTGTACAAGTCAGAAATTCTTCAAAGAGCGTTCAAATTGACTAAAAGCTATTTGAGTTAAATGCAATTTTACAGAGTAATAGCTTTCTCTCTACTCCTCGTTCGGGAGAAGAGTTGTGCGTAAAGATATGACCATGAAAACATATCTAACAGTATTGTGTAACTGTCCATTTTTTCTATAATGGATCATCATTTTCAAGTACTGAATGAACACACAGAAAAATAAAAAAGAGTACTTGTGGCACCTTAGAGAATAACCAATTTATTTGGGCATAAGCTTTCGTGAGCTACAGCTCACTTCATCTCTAAGGTGCCACAAGTACCCCTTTTCTTTTTGCGAATACAGACTAACACGGCTGTTACTCTGAAACCTGACAGAAAAATAAGATACTCATACCTGGGTGAACATTTTTCATTAAGTGACCATCACACTGCATGCAACCTCTTTGTCCTCAAAGGAAACTTGCACAACACCTTCAAAGACAAGTTTGAAAACTTAGGTTTCAGAGGAACAGCCGTGTTAGTCTGTATTCGCAAAAAGAAAAGGAGTACTTGTGGCACCTTAGAGACTAACCAATTTATTTGAGCATGAGCTTTCGTGAGCTACAGTGAGCTGTAGCTCACGAAAGCTCATGCTCAAATAAATTGGTTAGTCTCTAAGGTGCCACAAGTACTCCTTTTCTTTTTGAAAACTTAATAATTCTGCTAGACATTACCATGGACCATTACTAAACAGACACACTGGTTTTATGGCTCATTATGACAATCTGTAACATCCTACGGCCTGCTAACCCTTAATTGCCCACTCCATGTTAAGTTGTCTTACAGCAGGTGTGCTCTTCCCTCCTCTTCTGCCCCATATGCTTAATAGTCCCAACTGGTATTTAGCTCAGACGTGCTGGTTACCTTCCCCAGACCTGAAGAAGAGCACTGTGAAGCTCAAAAGCCTGTCCCTCCCACCAGCAGAAGCTGTTCCAATAAAAGATTATTACCTCACCCACCTTGTCTCCAGCACTTTAAAGATAATTTTCAAAAATGTCAGTTGAATAAGTCAATGTAGGTTTCACAGATTCCAGAGTCTGAGTTTTCATAAGAACCTGTTGGAGTATTACTCTCATAGCTGGAGAAGAGCAATAGCAGATAGAAATAGGCTGTGTTAAATAACCATCTTTGTCTAAGTGGGTCTCAACTGGCGTAGATGTACCCCTGAGGGTACATAGTGGGGTACAGTACATCAGCTCATCTAGTTATTTGCCAAGTTTTACAACAGGCTACATAAAAAGCATTAGCGAAGTCAGTACGAACTAGAAATTCATATAGAAATGACTTGTTTATATTGCTCTGTATGAGCGCTGTCAATTACAGTTAACTAACATGATTAACTCAAAATTAATCATGATTAAAAATAGTCTTTATTAATCAGTTTAATTGAACAGTTAAACAATAGAATACCAATTGAAATGTATTAAATATGTTTTGATGTTTCTACATTTTCAAATATATTGATTTCAATTACAACACAGAATACAAAGTGTACAGTGCTCACTTTATATTTTTGATATAGCACTGTAAAAATGACATAGTATTTTTCAATTTACCTCATACAAGTACTGTAGTGCAATCTCTATCATGAAAGTGCAATTTACAAATAGATTTGTTACATAACTGCTCTCAAAAACAAAACAACGTAAAACTTTAGCGCCTACAAGTCCACTCAGTCCTACTTCTTGTTCAGCCAATTGCTCAAACAAGTTTTTTTACATTTACAGGAGATAATGCTGCCCGCTTCTTGTTTAGAGTGTCGTCTGAAAGTGAGAATAGATGTTCTCTTGGCACTGTTTTAGCCAGCGTCGCAAGATATTTACGTGCCAGATGTGCTAAAGATTCATGTGTCCCTTCATGCTTCAAACACTATTCCAGGGGACACGTGTCCAGGCTGATGGTGGGTTCTGCTCAATAACAATCCAAAGTAGCACAGACCAAAATGTTCATTTTCAACATCTGAGTCAGATGCCACCAGCAGAAGGTTGATTTTCCTTTTTGGTGGTTTGGTCTTTTAAGACTTCTGAAAGCATACGCCACACCTTGTCCCTCTCAGATTTTGGATTGAGTGCTGTAGCTATCTTTAGAAATCTCACAGTGGTACCTGTTTTGTGTCAAATCTGCAGTGAAAATGTTTTTTAAAACAAATATGTGCTGGGTCATCATCTGAGACTGCTATAACATGAAATATATGGCAGAATGTGGGTAAAACAGAACAGGAGACACAATCTCTCCCAAGGAGTTCAATCACAAATTTAATAAACACTTTTTTTTTTTAAACGAGCATCATCAGCACGGAAGTATGACCTCTGGAATGGTGGCCAAAGCATGAAGGGGCATGTGAATGTTTACGTGCCAGATATGCTAAATATCTTGCAATGTCAGCTACAACAGTGCAATCCAAACACCTGTTCTCACTTTCAGGTGATATTGTAAATAAGAAGCTGAGCTTTCTTTGATCCCTGCACCAGGGGCACTGATCGAGGGACTCAAGGCATACCTCGCTGGTGGAATGGGGCAGACCCTCTGGGGTAGCTCCGGCTCAAAGCGAGGTTCCCTGACTGCAGGACAAGTCCCAGTACTGGTGGTGCCAACTACATTATCAGCACTGAAACCTGCCCCATAGCCCCAAGGGCAGCAGCTGGCACCCCAGGGGGTTCACCCAACATTCCCAGGCTGCCCGATCTGTGTCGGGAGCCTCAGAGGCCAGCGGCCTCAGTATCCTGTCCCCCTCTGGTGCTTGAGGCTTCAGGGGGTAAAACCTCACGGGGCCAGGAGGACCCAGGGAAGCGAACTGCTGGACCACCAATGGACATGGAGGTTCCCGCAGCATCATCCTTGTTGTCGCCAGACGAGGCTACCACGGGGCCCACTCTCCTTGTTCCTCAGGAAGGTGCCAAGGTGCACCAGGAACTTTTGAAGAGGGTCTCTTCTAACCTGGAGCTTCAGGCAGAGGAATTGGAAGAGCCCTCGGACTCTGATGTCCTAGGCCCTACCCCTTCATGAAGGGGTCTCCAAAAATCACTAATGCCCTGTGGCAGACCCCCTCTTCCCTGGCCCTGTCTCTAAAAGGGCCAAACGTAAGTACTTTATGCCAACTAAAGGGCATGAGTACCTATACTCCCACCCAGCCCCCAATTCTCTTGTGGTTGAGGTGGTGAACAAGAAGAGGCAGGGACAACCTAGGGCCACCCCCAAAAATAAAGACTCAAGGAGGCTGGATCTTTTTGGGCAAAAGGTTTATTCGTCTTCCAGCCTTCAGCTGAAAGTAGCTCACCATCAAGCCCTCCTTAGCCAATATGATTTCAATAGGTGGCAAGCCATAGCCAAGTTCAAAGGGTCAGTCCCTCAGGCTTCCCAAGAAGGAGTTCCAAGCAATCCTCGATGAGGGCACGACTGCGGCCAGGGCGGCCCTCCAGGCAGCACTGGATGGTGCTGATGCTGCTGCCTGCACCATGGCTTCCGCTATTTGCATTTGGCGAGTCTCTTGGCTACTCCTCTGGGTTGTCCACAGAGGCCCAGAAGTCATTGCAGGACCTGCCCTTCAATGGCAGGGCCCTATCTGCGGAGCAAACAGACAGCAAGTTGCATAGCCTCAAGGACTCCCACACCACCCTGAAAACCCTGGGTGTCTATGTCCCAGCCCTGACGCGTAAGCGGTTCAAACTGCAGCAACCTCAGGGCCAGGGGAGCCAGCCTCAGCAGGACAAGGCCCATAAACAAGCCAAGGGCTACAAGCACCGCCCGAACCACCCACCTCCACCCTCTGCCCAGTCGGGCTCAACCCGTAATAAGAAGGCGGCCAAACGGTCATTTCGAGAGTATGCCCAAGGGTGACCTACCAGACTATTCCCCGGATCCACCTTTCCCAGTGTTTTCCAACCACCTTTCCTCCCAGCTTGGACTGCTATAACTTCGTACCACTGGGTCCTCACCACAGTGGAACAGGGTTATACTCTCCAGTTCCTTTCTACCCCCCTTCCCACCCACCTTCCCCGTCCCTCTTCAGGGACCCCTCTCATAAGAGTCTCCTCATGCAGAAGGTAAAGGGGTTACTACAGCTGGATGCGGTGGAAGAAGTTCCTCTCAAGTACAGGAACAAGGGGTTCTATTCCTGGTACTTTTTTAATCCTAAAGACCAAGGGCGGTCTACAGCCCATCCTGGACCTGCGAGACCTCAACAAGTACCTACAGAAGCTAAAGTTCCGCATGGTCTCTCTGGCTTCTATTATCACCTCCCTGGATCCGGGAGGTTGGTATGCCGCCCTTGACTTGAAGGATGCGTACCTCTACATAGTGATCTTTCAAGGACACAGACGCTTCTTCTGGTTTACGATGGGGCCCCACCACTACCAGTTTATGGTCCTCCCATTCTGCCTGGCAACAGCACCAAGGGTGTTTATCACATGCATGGCGGTGGTAGTGGCTTACCTCATGCGCCGGGGTATCCAGATCTACTCGTACCTTGACGACTGGCTTGTCAAGGGCAGTTCCAGGTCTCAAGTCCAAAGGGATGTTGCAGTGCTTCAAGCCACATGCCACTCTCTGAGCCTACTGGTGAACGACAAAGTCAACATTAGTGCCAGTGCAGAGGACAGAGTTCATCGGAGCAGTCCTCTACTCTACCTGTGCCAGAGTGTTCCTGCCGCTGGAAAGGTTCCACATGATGGTGAACCTCGTCATGGAAGTTTCCACGTTCCCTCTGACTACAGCCAGGGTTTGTCAGCGGCTGCTGGGCCACATGGCAGTGTGCACTTATGTGGTCCATCATAGCAGGCTCCAGATGCGGCCCCTGCAACAATGGCTGGCGATGGTCTATTCCCAGTCCTGAGACCCCCTGGAAAAGGTAGCTACCATTCCCCAGGTAATACTTACCTCGCTGATGGTGGACAGTCCTTGAAGGGGTTCCATTCAACAACCCTCCTTACACCATCAAGTTGGCGTTGGATGCCTCGGACCTCGGCTGGGGGGTCGCATCTCGGCAACCTCCAGACACGGGCTGTGGTCCCCAGAGGAGGTGTGGTTACAAGTAAACCTCAAAGAGCTCCAAGCAGTCTGGCTGGCATGCAGAGTCTTTTTGCCCCACCTGTCAGGGAAGGTGGTACGAGTCCTGATGAACAACACAGCCTTAATGTTCTACATCAACAGGCAACGGGGAGTGCACTCGTCAGCTCTCTGGCAGGAGGCGCTCTGTGAGACTTCTGCATCAGCCACGAAATCCACCTGGAAGCTTGTCACCTTCCTGACAAAAGGAATACACTGGCAGACTAGCTCAGCAGAGACTTCTCCTCTCGCCACAAATGGTCACTCCATCCAGAGGTAGCCTGCATGATCTTCCAAAGGTGGGGAACTCCCCAAGTGGACCTGTTCGCTACCAGACAGAACAGGAAATACCACGAGTTTTGTTCTCGACAGGGTCTGAGCCAGGGCTCTCTCTCTGATGCCTTCCTCCTGTCATGGTCAGGGAGCCTAATCTATGCATTTCCTCCGATTATGCTCATCAGCAGGGCCCTTGCAAAGATTGAGAGGCCAGGCGCAGGTTATCATGATTGCCACAGCATGGTCTTGCCAGCATTGATTCAGCATGCTCAGGAGCCTGTCAGTGGCCCCACCCTGGCCCCTGCCCAACCGACCGGACCTGCTGTCACAGGACCACAGTCGGCTCTTACACCCCAACCTTGCGTCCCTCCACCTCTCGGCATGGATGCTGTGTGGCTGAACCTGGAGGAGCAGACCTGTTCAAAAGGACTCCAACAGGTCCTCCTGGAAAGTAGGAAGCCCGCAACTAGCCTGACTTACCTGGCCAAGTGGACGAGGTTTTCCTGCTGGGGGTCCAAATGGGGCATCTCTCCCTCATGTTCCTCCATACAGGCTGTCCTGGACTACCTGCTCCATTTGAGGAACCAGGGCCTGGCACACACTTCCATTAGAGTGCATCTTGTGGCCATCTCTGCTTTTCACCCGCCGATCCAAGGACAGATGGTGTTCTTCCATGACATGACTGTCAGATTCTTGAGAGGACTGGAGAGACTCTTTCCGCAGGTGTGGGCTCCCATCCCACAGTGGGATCTTAACTTGGTCCTCTCTAGGCTCACTGGCCCGCCCTTTGAACAACTGCGTTCCTGCTCCCTTTCCCATCTGTCATGGAAGGTTGCGTTCCTGGTGGCAGTGACGTCAGCAAGACGGGTCTCGGAAATTAAAACTTTGACCTCAGAACCGCCGTACACGGTCTTCTACAAAGATAAGGTCCAGTTGTGGCCCCACCCAGCCTACCTGCCAAAGGTGGTCTCCGCCTTCCATATGAACCAGGACATCTTCCTCCCGGTGTTCAGTCCCAAACCGCACAAGACCAGTGAAAGGCATCTTCATGCACTGGGCGTCCGGAGGGCCTTGGCTTTTAAATTAGAACATACCAAGCCTTTCTGTAAATTGACTCAACTCTTCATTGCTACAGCGGATAAGATGATGGGTCATCCAGTGTCCTCGCAGAGGATTTCCAGTTGGATCACCTCATGCATAAGGCCCTGTTACGACCTGGCAGGGGTTCTGCTGCCGCCAGTTGTCAGAGCCCACTCGATGAGAGATCAGGTATCTTTGGTGGCCTTCCTGGCACACATCCCTGTAAAGCCACAACATGGTCCTCTGTCCATACATTTACCGCTCATTATGCCATCACTCAGCAGGCCAGGGATGACACTGGGTTCGGCAGAGCTATGTTGCAATCTACACATCCGTGAACTCCTACCCACCTTCAGGGGTACTGCTTTGGAGTCACCTAATATGAAATGGCCATGACTGGTAACTGGTGTTCTTCGAGCTGTGTTGCTCATGTCCATTCCATGACCCGCCCTCCTTCCCCACTGTCAGTTTCCTGCAAGAAGGAACTGAGGGTGGGAGGAGCTGGCAGCGCCCCTTATATCACGCCATGTGGGTGCCACTCCAGGGGGTGCCAGAGTCAGTCCCCTATGGATACTGCTGAGGGAAAAACTTCCAGCGGCAGTGCATGTGGCGAGCTAGGGTGACCAGACAGCAAGTGTGGAAAAATCGTGACGGGGTGAGGGGTAATAGGAGCCTATACGAGAGAGACCCAAAAATCAAGACTGTCCCTATAAAAATCGAGACATCTGGTCACCCAATGGCGAGCACAAACACCTAATATGGAATGGACATGAGCAACTCATCTTGAAGAACACCAGTTACAGAAAAGGTAACTGTCTTATCTCCTGCAAATGTAACCAAACTTGTCTGTCTGAGCAATTGGCTGAACAAGAAGTAGGACTGAGTGGACTTGTAGGCTCTAAAGTTTTACTTTGTTTTATTGTTGAGTGCAGTTATTTTTTGTACATAATTCTTAAGTTCAACTTTCATGATAAAGAGATTGCACTATGATACTTGTATTAGGTGAATTGAAAAATACTATTTTTGTTTTTTACAGTGCAAATATTTAATCAAAAATATAAAGTGAGCACTGTACACTTTGTATTCTGTATTGTAATTGCAATCAATATATTTGAAAATGTGGAAAACATCAAAAATTAAGTAAATGGTATTCTATTACTGTTTAACAGCTCGATTAATCGCAATTAATATTTTAAATCACTTGACAGCCCTACTCTGTATACTGTACACTGAAATGTAAGTACAATATTTATATTCTAATTGATTTTATAACTATATGGTAAAAATGAGTCATCAATTTTTCAGTACTAGTGTGCTGTGACACTTCTCTATTTGTCTGATTTTGTAAGCAAGTAGTTTAAGTGAGGTGAAACTTGGGAGACACAAAACAAATCAGACTCCTGAAAGGGGGACAGCCACTGGTTTAAACAGGCTACTGTATCTAGTTCCCTATTCAGTGCTTAGTCATAATTCACTTAATTGAATGGGACTATGGCTTAAGTAGAGTGCTAAATAGGGCTCTTGGCTAGAGAATCTACTCCCTTAAACTTATCACTATAAAGAATATTTTCCAAACCAATTAAGCTCAAGTAAAACAGTCATCCGGCTATGCAAGCCATATATGCAAAGGCAGTATTGTTTCCCCTCAACTTAGGAGAGGAACATGGGTTGCTTTTGCACTATTTTAATCTTGGAGGCTATAACCAGTAAGAACCAGTACAGGATATAACTGCCTTACCTTCTCAGTCCTCCATAAATATTGATGGTCTTTCTAATGTTAAGAAGACCCATACCATTTCATCATCACCAGTTACATAAGTTATTTTTCCCCAGCACCAGGCATGAAAACTGACAAGTAAGAATACCGAGCACCAATAAATTTCACTGGAAGCATTACTTTGCACATCAGTCAGAATGCTTTTTCTAAAGCCTGCCATAAAATAGTGAAAGAGTAACACTGAAGAATATGGAAATATCTGAAGACAGCTATTAGACAAAACTAGGATGGGGGAAATTAACAGCACTACCATTATTCACTTGAAACTCAGGACAGCACCCCCTTCTGTGTATGTTTGGATCCATACTAGCATTTCAGAAAAGGCTCAGCAGTGTCGTATACTTGCAAAGCATTTTTCCAAGACACATACACAACACAGAATACAAATCCCTATGTATTCAGGCAGCTGCCCCAATCAGCTGTATCAGATACCCATTACTGACTGATCTTAATGGCTGAAAAAGTAGAGAGACTGACACCAGGATGAGATGTGGGAGTAGAGCATCTGTTTAAGAGGGGATGAACTATGATTGTAGAAAGTTGCAGACCAATATATTTTCTGTTACAAGAATGTGTATACAGGATATCCTCACATTGCCAAATAGGATCATGCAATCAAAATTTCTGCATTCTTGTTTCCCTATGGTCAACATTTTTGGTGCAAATACATGCTGAGACAGACAGAAACTGTCTCTTCAAACAAAGAAGGCTCAGCAAAGCACCTAGACAGAGGGCTGTGAAGGGTGCCGATTTATATAATAAATAAAATATTGGTTTAGAACTATTATGTCGTGTACATAGATTGCTTATGTAACTACATGTTCTACTGCTGTTATCTTCACCTTCCCCCCTAGTGTTTGTGAATACTCACTTGTTGCATCTTGTTTTCCAATTAAAGTGTAAGGAGCTAGGACCTGTCATCTAACAGCTTTGTACAACACCTGATACAATTGTACCTCAATCCTGATGGACCTTTGGGCACCTCTGTAATATAAACAGATAATGAATTGTTAGCGAAAGATACCTTTTTGTCCAGACATACTGTCTCTTGGAATGTTTCATTTTAATACAGTACTTGGGGTGCATTTCTTGGCTTTTCTGTAGCTTTTTAGGCCTCTTCAGGCCTGTAAAAACCAAATTGTAGAAAGTAAGCAAAGAGCACAAAATGCTATTTAGCAAACAAGACTAGGATGCAAGTCTAATAATGAATAAAAAGGAAGTAAAATATATATTAAAAAAAAGAGTAACCCAAACATGGTGTTCAATTCTGTACTGCTGAAGCCAATTGGAAAACTCCCCTCAATTTCCACTGGAGCTGAAACAGACCCTAAATTTTCATTTATTTATTCCAAAAAGGCAGCTGTGATGAGTGCTAGCATTCTACACTTGAGATGATCACATGACCCAAACCAGTTCTAACTGAAATACCAGTACATTTCCAGCAAAGAATTATTAGCCCAAAGGGCTAAAGTTGTAGTCAATGGGCATTTATACAGACTGGCCACTTCTCACAATTTTATCATCAGTCCCATGGCATTTGGCATTTTTAGAGCTCCAGCTTCTGAGGTCAGGTGAGATTACATTAGAACAGCAGTGGGCAAAATACAGCCTATGGGCCGGATCCAGCCCCTCTAACATTTCTGTGCAGCCTCCTCTGCCACCTCACAATCTCTGAGTCCGAGCCACTAAAAGTCCCGCGGGGCGCTCAGGCATGCTGCCTGCCAGCTGTGGCCCCATGCCGCTCCTGGAAGCATCTGGCTGCTGCTAGCACATTTCTGCCTGCCCCTGGTGGGGGGAAGGCAGCTCAGTTCATTGCCCCTGCCCCCAGCACCATCCTCACAGCTCCCATTGGCCAGAAACTGGCCAATGGGAGCTGCGGGCATAGGCACCAACTTCTTCTGGCACTGGTGAGTGCTTGACCCCCCGCCCCTACCCCCATTCTAACCCCTTTCCCAACTCCACCCCATCCCTGCCCCTATTCGACTCCTTTCCCAAATCCCCACCCGGGCCCTGCCTCCTCCCCTGAGTGGGCCACGTTCCTGCTCCTCCCCCCTAGAGCTTGCTACAGCTGTTTGGCAGTGGCAAGCGCTGGGAGGGAAGGAAGAGTGGAGATGTGGCGCGCTGGGAGGAGGTGAAGTGAGGGGGCGGGGAGCTTGGCTGCCCATGGGTGCAGAGCACTCCCTAATTTTTCCCCGTGGGTGTTCCAGCCCCAGAGCACCCATGGAGTCAGCGCCTATGGCTGCGGGGATGGTGCTTGCGGGCACAGGCAGCGCACGGAGACCCACCCTCCCCGCAAGGGTTGCACAGAGATGTGCCAGCAGCAGCCGGCCACAGCCACTTCCGGGAGCGACGTGGGGCCAGGGCATGCAGGCAGCCTGCCTGAGCCCTGCTGCGCCACTGGCCGGGAGCCACCTGTGGTAAGTGCCTCCTGACCAGAACCTGCACCTCGCACCCCCTCCTGCACCCCAACCCCCTGCCCCAGGTCAGAACCCTCTCCTGCACCCAAACCCCTCACCTGCATCCCAACGCTCTGCACCAGCGCAGAGCTCCCTCCTGCACCTAAACTCCCTCCCAGACCCCGCTTCCCCTCCATTAATATAGTAGAAATGTGCAGCCTGTGATGACTTACCAAAATTCATTGAGTGGCCCCCCTGTGAAAATTATCGCCCATCCCTGCATTAGAATCTTGGCTTTCATTAATATATATATATTTCTAGCCTTCATGATGCTAGATAAAAGCTTGAAGATGTGAACCCTAGAGGTCACATACCAAAAGGTATGGGGAGGGGGGAACACTTTTTTTTAAAAATCATGATTTTAAGCTAATCATGACTTTGCCAACTACAAGCATTCAAATGCTGCTCAGTGGCAACAGTTTTCCCAAATCTTCATTGCAGTTTTCACAGCTGACTAGGGAATTTAGCTTCACAATTCCCATGAACTTCAAAGGGAACTGTGCAGCAAAATCCCCATACCTCCTCTTGAAATTGATGTTAGGAGGCTTCGAAAATTTCAGCTCTTAAATCCATTCTCTATATTAAGATACACTTGTAAACAATCCAACTGAGTTTTTTTTTAACATTTTAACATCTAAACTTCGAGTTTTTGAGGGTTACTGGCGCAAGTTGTTGAGCCAAAGCTGCTTTCTCGTCCTGAGTTGAATATAGCAGCGTCCCTATACAAATTTCATTTGCTCCATTCCCAAATAAAACAGGATCCAGCTGCAATCTGCAAAAAAAAATCTCCCTAATCCCACCAGGCCGCAGGTCCCCTCCCTTGGCAGTGCACAAGATTCTGAACTCAGTGAACTCCAGGAAGCGTTTCCACTCCCTCTCCGATTGGTTTGCGGAATTACAGAGCTGCAGCCCCTTGCTTTCTGCACAGCAGGCTTCAGTTTACACTGTTCAAACGACTTAAGGCGTTGGTGCAAACCTAGCTAACAACACTGGCGGGTCTAAGCAACTCAGAGCAGGCTGCCGCCAGGACTCCAGAACTCCCCACAGGCCACAGCACTCTGCACATGGTCCCATACCACTCTCCTTGCCCGCCCCGGGGCTCTGCAAACTCCCATCGGCACGGCTGGAGCGCTGACCTGCACCGGCAGCCTTGAGCTAACCCGAGGGGCGAAGAGACCTGGCAGACACCCTGTGCTCCGCAGCTGCCGCCTGGAGACATTTTCTTTTGCTTGGCAAACTGACAGGTCACGTGCTGTGCGTCTCTTAAAGGCACAACGCTTAGTTCCTGATTGGTGCTGACCACACCAGCACCTCCAAAGGGGAGCTCCCCACGTCATGTAAATGCTTTGCAAACAGCGTAAGGTCTCCAAACCAGCCACGGCCCATGCACAGCAGGCATGCGCTGAAAAATCTCAAATGCATTTATATTTCAAAATCGCTTCCTCCTTCATCTACCTGACAAGACCTGGGTTTGTGGGTCTCTCCCCGCTTAGTTCTTGGAGTGATGTTTGCCAGGCTCCCAACTATTGCAGGAAAATCTGAGCATCACGAGCCCAGGTCTTGGCAGAAAAGTAGAGGAGGGTTTGGTGTTTAAAGATGTAAAATGTTCTAAGAAAATGGGTTGGTAGTTTTTAAGTCTACACATCCCAGACGTGTTGGGGTCTGCAGTAGCTCACGCAGCTGTTCCAGATCGGTCATTTGGAATGTTGTACTGATGAAGAAAAAGCTTGCGAAAGTGCCCGAATTCATTATCTTTGGTCAATACCTTTCACAGCCTAGATCAACTATGCATAAAGCAACTCCAAGCGTGGCTGTATGGGAGCAGGTGCTGGACTGGGGCTCAAGAGAGCTGGGCTCAATACCTCATTGAAACTGAAGATAGCAGGAGCAGACACAGAAGCAGCCTCAGGAACAGAGGTCCCCTGCGGGGCATGCCCCGCTTGGGGGGCACGGGGGAACATTTGGGAGGGGTGCAGCTGGGGCCCAGGCCAGCCTCCATGGGGGGCAGGGATGGAGCACCACCCAGCTCTGCTCCTGGCCCCAGTCTCAGCCCCCTTACTCCTCTCCGCGTGTTCCCCCTGGATCCACGGCCCCACTCTGGGCCCCAGAGGGAGGCTAGGGTTGCCAGGTGTCCAGTTTTCAACCAGAATGCCCAGTCGAAAAGGGATCCCAGTGGCTCTGGTCAGCAGTTAAAAGTCCAGTCAGAGGTGCAGTAAGGCTAAGGCAGGCTCCCCACCCTAACCACCTGCCCCAGCCCTGAGCCCCCTCCATCATGCCAAACCCCGCATCCCTGGCCCAAGTCGGAGCCCTCAGCCCCTCCCACACCCCCACCCTCTGCCCCAGCCTGATGAAAATAAGCGAGGGTAGAGGAAAGCGAGTGGCGGAGGGAGGGGGGATGGAGTGAGTGAGGACGGGGCCTCGAGGTAGGGCAAGGGTGTTTGGTTTTCTGCAGTTAGAAAGTTGGCCACACTAGAGGAGGTGCAGACAGGAGTAAGGGGTGGCAGGGGTTGACCCTGAAAAGTTTGGGGACCACTGTTCAGGAGGTACTGTAGCATTTGCGGAGGAGAAAGGTAGGGCAAATTGTTTTTCAACTCTCTCCAGACCTACAACTGAGTGGCATGATCTCCCTTGCTTCCTCTATGGGAGCACTAGGATCCATGCAGTACCAGTGGCATTGGAACCGTTTTTATAGTGGGGATGCTGACAGCCATTGAACAAAACTGTAAGCCCTATATATGATGGAAACTATTTCAAGCCAGGGGGTGCTGCCACACAGCACCCCTCATTCTAGCAGGCCTGTACAGTACTCCCTGGCGCTTTGTGGACTGGGAGAAGAAAGCAGTGTTCCCAACTCACAATGTTATCACAAGTCTTGCCATATTTGACATTTTTCTAACACCCAGCTCCTGGATGCTTGTAATTAGGCGAGCGTCTCCACTTTAATGAAAAAGAACGCTTTTAGCCCTCATGATTGAAAAGCTTCAAACTGTGACCCACGTGCATCCCAAAGTCTTGGAAACCAAAAGACAAATAAAATGAGCCCCAGGTTTGTTTGTTTTTTTTAATCTCATGATTTTTGAGGCCTGATCCATGATTTTTGAACACTTGGTGTTGGCAATACTGACTGAGAAAAATTCCAGGGAGGAGCCAGCCCAAAGAACAGAATCAGCCTCACCAGGTGCTGCAGCAGGGACTGGTAATAGTGTCAGACTTCTTTTCACAGCTTTCACTCTGGATGTTCTTTCCCCCTGGCTGCCTGCTCCAAACCGCTTGCAGTCTCTTCACCTCAGCCTCACTCCACTTGCCCTCCATGCTTATACTCTTACCAAGAGAAATGGTGGATTCGCTATTTCTTGATGTCTTCAGCTCAAGACAGGATGCCTTTGTGGAAGACATGTTTCAGTGATACCCAAGTTACTGGGCTCAATACAGGAGTAACGGGGTGAAATGTAATGGCCTGTGATAAACAGGAGATCAAATTAGATGATCTAATGGTGTGTTATGGCTTTAAAATCTATTAATCCCCTACCCTGATCGCTCATCCCCTCACTTGAGCATCCCCTCTCCGTTCCTTTGTCTTGCAGTTTAGCTAATCTCTTCCCCCCTAAAAAAGTTTTTTTTTAAAATAAAATTGTAGCACTAACCTGAAATTTGCCACCTTCACATTGTTCTGCTTGTGTATTATCAACTTTCCCCCTACCCCTTGTCTGTTTTGTCTCTTTAGACTGTAAATTCAACAGAACAGTTTAGCATTTCTATGATGTCTAGCACAATGGAGCCCCATTCTCGGTGAGTCTCTAGGCACTACCATAATACAAATAAAAGTAATAATAACAGTAATAATTTTCTGCCCTGTGACATTGGGCAAGTCACCTAATCTTGCTGCCTTACAAAGATGTTTTATTTTGGCGGGGGGAGTGTATGTTTGTTTCTGTTGAGGGCCTTGAGATCCAGGTTCTCTGCAGAGTTTCCTGATAGGATTGTGCGAAAATGGAGATTATGGTTGCGAGCACTGTTTGATTATTATGAATTTTTATTGTGGGGGCCTTTACAATGTGATAATAAATTATCTTAGGGAAGGAAATAGTATGTGCAATGGATTTGGTTTTGTGTGTTTTTTTCCGGGGCACAGATAGTTGTGTGAGCCAGTTCTCTTCCCATCCCTTTAGGATTTTGGATTTGAAGAACTTATTAGGGAATTGAATGTATAGCTGATAGGTAGATGTTTTCTGAGAGGGTTGTTATTTAGTTGTATAAATACTTTTTTTGAGAGCTTCCAACTGGTTTTTAATATGGCAACGATTTGGTTGTACGATATGCTTCATAAAGCAATTGTAGGTTCTTTAGAATAGCCTTAGTTAGTCCATTTAGGTAGCGTTAAAATAAAAATAAAACAAAGAAAAATATTGTATCAAGTGTTTGGCCTTTTCTAGACAACTTGAAGTCCTTGGGGAGCATTATGGGTTAATATATTCCACCGGTGTCATGGATTAACAAATCCCTCAATGGGTTTTGATAGCCCTTCAGATATATCTAATATTCTCTATATGGAGCACTCCTTACAGGCTCTGCCACAGCCTCAAATCCTAATTAATTTTTATCTTATTTTATTTTATAGAAAGTACTGAGTAAAAACTGAACAAGGATTTCAGAATTTGGTTTTAGGATTGTAATCATTCTCTGCTACAGCAGCTGCTTTTTTCCTCCAATATTTTAGCTGGTCTTAAAACTAAGGTTAGCCATTTTGTATCTGAGAGAGATTTTGCTTTCTCCCTCGCTGTGTATACCTGCGGAGGAGACTGAGGGAAGGTTCTAAAAAGATTTACGCTGAGATTTGATCTGTATGCTATTTTCTTCGGCAGTCCCATAGCTTGTGCTCAAAGCACTGGCTTTCCTCTAGACACTGTCTGTGGAAAATTCTAAATCCCAATAGTCACCATTTAAAATTACATTTTAGATTTGAAGCTTAGTGAAATTGTTTTTCACCATTAGAAATAATGATTAGAAGGCTTGATTCAGTGTCATATATTATAAGGTTTGGAAAATGATGAAGCGTGCACATATTTAGGAACACTGTCAGTTTCAATTCTCAGCACCCTTTCAGCCTTCTGTAATAGTTGACATAGTATTATTATTAGCTGCCACAATTAATTTAGGTAAGCTGTTGTGAAGCTTACCTTTCTTTGTAAGGATGTGTTCTCCTTGGGACTTTAACTGTTATGTTATGTAATTTTGCTCTCTTTTTTAGTTTTTAATTTGTTTCTTTTCGGGAGGGAAAAGATTATGCCACGTGAATGTGACAAAAATGGATCACGTATATGGGATTTGAAATTCTGGAAGCTAAACCAGCTTGCAGATTGGGTGCTCCAAAACAATAGGAGCCAGCTCCTCAGCTGATATAATCAGCTCCAATGACTTCCATGAATACATGCTGATTTACACCTGTTGAGGATCTGGCCCCAAATGTTCATAGACTAATATTAGTAAATAAATAATAAACAGAGCAGATGAAATACACACCCCTGCTAATTCTTCATACCACTGAAGAGACTAAAATATTTGTTCCTGGCATCAGAAGAACAACATGACCACAGACAAGAAAATCCCCCCATCTCCTCATCCCCCCGCCCCCACCTCCTTGATTGTCTAAATCACTGTAATTCGCTAAGGAAGAACATTCTATTCTTACATGTTTAGAAGCCATGAAATGTTTGTGCACCTAAATGAAGTGTTTGCCCCCTGCATGGATTCGGAGATTTTGGAATGTCAGCTGAGAGCTGTGATAATCATAATGATTTACCAGGTCACAGTCCAATTACAGAAATGTTTACAAGAGTCTGCGTGAGGTCTGATTTTCAAAACACTGCTAGTCTAAGATTGTGCAATTCTAATTTGAATGATTACATGTTTTAGTCTTTTAAATACAGTTAAAAATAGTCCAGAGCTTTAAAACAGATAAAGCCGACACCTGAAGTGATTTGATTTTGATTGGCTTCATAAGCACATAAGAATGGGCATACTGGGGCAAACCAGTGTTCCACAAGTGGTTGGTGCCAGATGCGTCAGAGGGAATGAACAGAACAGGGCAATTATTGAGTGATCCATCCCCTTTCATCCAGTCCCAGGTTCTTGCAGTCAGAGATTTAGAGACACCAAGGTAATGTGGTTGTATCCCTGACCATCTTGGCTAACAGCCATTGATGGACCTATCCTCCAGGAATTTATCTAGTTCTTTTTTGA